TATATATTTAAAGATTCATACTAGGTACATGCACGCATGTGTATATAGTTATGTATTAGTGATATTACAGTCATCGAGGTTAAATAATACCTACAGCACTTCCAACCGGTTTTTGGACGCTGATTGTGCGTTGGTGGCCTGCATCTGCTAGTTGAGTATAAATACTGAGCAAAGCCCCTCATTGGCAGTCCTATCATTGGAGTGATTCAGGGCACACTTCAGACTTTTAACTTAAGCTACAGTGGTGCGTAGTTTGGGCGCTACACGATAGGGACGACAATATGCCATTGAACGGCAATATACACTATACAGAGGATATCATACAGCCCTGGTCATCTAGTTTAAAGTTATAGTCTTAGAATACAGTCATTACAGTCTGTAGTACACATTTTTTACTGGCATCATACAGTATCATATCTTCCGAGCACGATTCGGATCATACCATACTATACGCGTTTATCATGCCACATTTGCATATAAATAGAGGTGTCCACCTCTACACACTGCCAGACCTTGACGAGATCGACTTCGCATACTACCAGCCTCAACCCTTCCCTGAACATGATAAATGCATGAGCCTGACCAAAGCCAGGAGACGTCGCAGGCAGCGCATGTATGTACCTATCTCGTGCGTTTCTAATTTGCTTAATGATATCAATAATTTTGGTTTTATTGCCTGTATGTGGTTACGATTTGTAATAATTAGATATCTGCTTGATATAATCATGAATCGTAATGAGATGATATATAGTTATCAGTTGCGTTTAATGTATGCTTGCTATAATCATGAATCTTAATGAAATGATATATAGTTTTTAAGCTGTGTTTGATGTATGATACTTACCCGTTGTGTTTGATGTATGCTTACTACAATCATCAATCTTAATGGGACGATATATAGTTGCCAGTTTTGTTTGCAGTTTTCCTCTCATCATTACGACCCTTGATGTAGTTATCGCTATCTTTGCTTGTGCGTAATCGGCATTTTGCTTGAGAATTGCCTGCAATGGTGTTGAATCCTGGTGTATTTGTGTGTATATGACTTACCTGATATGGTTATGAATCTATATGTAATTGCGTCCGGATACTGAAGTTTGTCTGACTTATATGTATTGTTTATTGGAAAATTATCTGACCTCGCACGATAGTATGAGCTATATGTAAGAACAGCCAATAACGATCACCTGAGCAGGCACATGGCATAAATCCGGCTTTTAAAACGTGCGTGTATCAGTATTGTACAGCAATTGTTGATATATATCTGTGTATATGTGGAACTAATGGTCACAGAGTACAAACTAATGGTCACAGGGTACAAACTAATGGTCACAGAGTACAAACTAATGGTCACAGGGTACAAGCTAATGGTTACAGGGTACAATTTATTGGTCACAGGGTACAAACTATTGGTCACAGAATATAAACTAATGGTCACAGAGTATAAACTAATGGTCATAAAGT